CCTTTTGTTGGTGGTTTCGGAGGCCAATCGCAGACAACTCTCTCTCTTTCTTTTCAATTTGTGTCGCCTAATTTTCTCATGCGCGCGCGGAGGCGGAACTGCCGCTTCGCCGCCGCCCTGGCCATTTTCCGGAAGCCGTGAGCGGTGGCGTATGCTTCGTGCAGAACCAAAGCCAACCCCTTTCCATCGTCTTTCTTACAATTCCATCATTGATTTGATTGCTCAAAATCATGGAGCTTGCACCAATTCGAATGTTATTAATGGAGTCTGTGACCCACCCCTCCAATTTTTCTCTTATTTAATTCCAAAAATATTATATAACATGATAAATTAAATCAAACTTCTTTTTTTGGTTTCTTTAATGTTTTCTTTAAGGTAAAAAGGGGTAGCCTAGGATTAGATTATTACTAAGCTATGTATTAGCCTAGGATTCTTAGGGAAGAAGCCTTTATAGTTTTGACTCAAACTCTCATCTCTTATTTTGTGATACTTTATAATTTTTGTGATTTGGCCTCTTGACGAAATTATTAACGCATCATCAAACCAAAATATATCAAAGTCTACCGATATTAAATGTTTTGTATAATATGATGTGATTTTTTTTATATTCGTAAGTGTCCGAGTAAACTTGTGCACATTTTGATTAATCTTACAAGACAATTGTCTGACCGTAATACACTCACTGGTTAAAGAAACTAGTAGGATATTAAATATTCATTCTTTCTCAACTCTAATATGATGTGAATTTTACGGTAAGATGTTGGAAAATCAATAGGATATTTTAATTGTTGTTTCATTATGTGATACATATGAGATTCAACGGTCATTCAAATTTGCATTGTAATAAATTTTTCTGGTGGAAAATCCTCCATTTAATCACATAATGGAGAAATTTTATCGATAACTGAAACGATGACATTTTGAAAATATATAGATTAAAATGAACAAAAGTTGAAACTATTTAGACCAAAATGAATATTTTAAAAGCGTAGAGATCAATATAAACCACAAAATAATATTTAAACATTAATTATAGTACCAAATTAAAATTATCACTTTTAATATCTCAACTAGTTAAATTACTTTATCTCCATCCAAAAGTTAGTAAATTTGAACTCATACCTAGTAAGTCAATTTCATTCCTTTTTTCCCCCCAAATAATGGAACCGAATTACAACAAAATAAACACATTCAAATAATTTTTTCAAACAGAAAAAAACACACATGAAAACAAACATGAGAGAGAGAGAGAGAGAGAGCACAAGAAGGAATATTTTGATGAGATTGGGAATTAATGATAAGGGTAGTCAAACTCAGCTCCTACAATGATGAGTTTATTGATAATTTGATATGAAAAATCAAGAAAATAAAGGGCAAAAAAGAAAAAAAAAATTGATTGGTGGGGGGCAACCACATTACAATGTCTGACTCATTGGGTATCAATTTGGTTTACCTAAAAAAGGGAATAATAAAAGAGGAAAAGTATAACTTTGGTTAAAAAAGGGTGGCTTTAAACTTTAATTAATAGAGAAAAAAGAGGGGCCCTTTCCCCAACAACCCTAACCCCAATGTAATTAAAGTGATTAAATTATTATTAGTGTGATTTAAGCTTTATTAACAAGGCGCTACCTAATTAATTAATGCCCCCTAATGATGTGACCTATAATAGTAATTGCTTGCCCCAATTGGCCAATCGATAGTACACATCACCGAATTCACAATTCCSTTTGTGCCTCTATTTTTCAAGCAATGCCATTGCCACACACCATGCCACTTGAGGAGCTACATAATTCCCAATTTCATTGTGTTTTTTTTTAACCCTTTTTGGTGTTTTTGTTTTGGTTAATGTACTAGATTTTAAATATGGTTTTGGTTCATATAATTTTAGTTTTTGTGTACTTTGATACATGTGCTTGAAAGATGGATTACAATATTTTTATATTTTTATTCGTTTACCTTAAAAACATGTTCATTTTGATCTATATTTGTAAGATTTTAACCCTTTTTTTTGTTACACAACAATATCTTTTTAATACAACGTTGTCGCAATATTTACGTGCTTTTGAAATTTTATTGAGTGTGGTATTGTATTTAACTTATAATTAAATAAATGAGATGAAAGCAAAATAAAGAAAACAAAAATAAAAAGAAACCAAAATAGACAAAAACTTAAGGTACCTATGTTTTGAAAAAAAATATATAAAAATTAAAATAAATAAAAATTATAAGTATGAGGACCAAATCATTATTCAGACCATAATTTTGTTGTATATAACTTACTTGATCCAGATGTATGCTTGTTTGATACTAGTGTAGTGTAGTAAAGATTTAATCTTAAATTTTTTTGTGGTTGAACTTTACAAGCAATAATATTAATTAAATGAGAATTTAACATGGGCTTGGTTTGCTTGGATCCGAAGGCATATTAGTAAATGGAGATTCTCATGCGGTTGATGTTAATAATAATATTGAAAGTGAATCAATTTTTTTTATTTTTTTTTTACTTCTGTTTAGAGAAGATTAATCCCATGATCAAATTTGATAATCTTTTGTTTTTTTGTGAAGTTGATTGTCAATTGATTGTAAGTATAATTTAATAACTACAATTATTTGATTGTTTGAAATACTCTTTCCAGGGCATGCTTTTTTATACTTTGAATTTATTCCCCTTGTTATAGAATTGGGAACAAAATTATGCTTATTTGATTTATTCTTGTTAAATTACAAGTTGAACCTTATGACCCTTATTATAAAAATGCTTATGTTTAATGAGTTTTTAAGTCTTGAGGTCTATTAAAAAAAAAAAAACTATGAGGTTTCTTAATGGTTGTTTTGTAACGTTTCCATTTCTTGTTTCTTATAACATGTCGGGGTGGGGGATCGAACTCAGGACCTCCTGATTAGAGATATATGTCAATTACTGTTATGCTCATTTTGGCAACAAAAATGAATAGATTATGGACCTATTGTACAAAAAATTAAAAGTTCAATGACTTTATTATACATAAAATTGAAAATTTATGAACTTATAATACATTTTCTTAAAATTTATTAATCTACTAGACACAAAATAAAAAATTGATTATAAACATATTAGATGCAAACTTGAAAAGTGAAACTAAATTCATAATAGAACAAACTCGAACTTAGTACATTTGATCTCGACACCTATTTTCAACCAAAAATCGTGAATTCAAATATCTACTTCCACCTATTGTTGTATTATAAGAAAAATCATAATATAACATTTATTTTTTCTCCCACTCAGGCCGAAATATAGAACGTTAAATTTTTAAACGTTTATATAACTAAGTCGAACTATATGTTGAAGGGGAGATTTATCACTGATCTTTCATCAAAGTAATTGTATTTTTTTTTTATGTCAATTGACACTTATCTTTGTTTATGAGTTTGAATCCTTCCACGAAATATATTAAAAAAATCAAAATAATATTTTTAAAACATAGAACAATAAAGTGTTGACTTTTATTTTTCCTTAGATACAATATCTATTGACGAAGATTTGAATTTACAACTGGTTGATCGAGATAAATAAAGGTGAGCTAGACTTAAAATAACCAACGGATTTTTATTTGCCAAAAAAGTTATGTTACGAATTCGCTTGTTTGAATATTTGGCGTCCACCATCCACGACGAAGCATGGTAGAAAGAAAATGAAAATATCTCTACGCAATAACGCAACTGCAATTTACAAATTGGACGAACCAATCACTGAATAATCCTCTGAGAAGCGCCGAGCCAATCATCTGCCCCTCCGATTCCGTCCCCGGAGCCTGTCCTCGAGCGGGAGCTATGAGCTCAGACGAACGATCCTCCGTAGCTCAGTTGCTGTCCACCGGCAATGCCCGGAATCTGTTCGACTCCGTCGAGGCGTTTCTCTTTGATTGCGACGGTATTCTGAATTTTCTGTTTCGCTAATTTCCATTTCACATCTCATTTCTTCTGCTTGCTCCATCGACCGTTAATCTTTTACCGATTGCATATTTGATTTGATGGGTAGGCGTTATATGGAAGGGGGGTAAGCTGATTGATGGCGTCGCAGATACGCTTGAAATGCTTCGGTCTAAGGTACGCTTTTCATTCCTCTTATTATTATCAGTCGAAGTTTGAGCCATGGATTATCGTTTCCCGCCATAAGCGTCGTCCATTTGTAGGGAAAGAAGGTGGTTTTTGTCACCAACAATTCGTCGAAATCGAGAAGGCAATACGCGGAGAAGTTCCATTCCCTTGGAATCACTGTTTCAGAGGTCAGTCTCATCGACTAGAACTCAAAATGCCCTCTTCTGGCGTTGGGAAGCGAACTATTTCTCTTTTCTAAAACCTCGTCCCAATGGCTTCCATTGTAGGATGAAATATTTTCCTCCTCATTTGCAGCTGCCATGTTTTTGAAAGTCAACAATTTCTCTCCAGAAAAGAAGGTTTGTCTAACCCCCCATTGTGCTTCTCGTACCAGAACTTGTCACTCCAGCACAGTATTTATTGTGTATTGATTTGATTGCAGTTATGTAACTTGTATTCGAGAGAAACAACGTGGTAGGATTAGAAACGCTATTGAATTTAACAAAAACTCATTTCCCCGATCCATGATTTTAATCCTTCAAGATTTCTTACCTGGCCCTCTGGAGTTTGGACAAGTGTGGTAGGAGTAGCCGCTGTCGCAATTTTCCATCAAATAGTTCGTATTCTAGCGATTCACATGGCTTCTTGATTGCAATTTCATCAAGCTTGCCTGTGATATTTACAGAATTACTTCAATGTCACTGAGTTTCTCCTATCCTATGCACGTTACTTACAGATCTGCTTTGACAACACTAGCAAAGAAAGCTAAGTTGTCTGTGGAGTGAAGGGAAATAATAGTTATCTTAGGGGTGTTTCCAAGGAGTTGAGGGAGGTATTTTAATGTGCAAAAGCTAATAGTTCTCGTTGGGCTTCTTTAGATAAATAGTTCGGTCTTCATTCTTTTTTGAATTGTCTTAAATTCGGAAGGTTTTCTGTAGTTTTTTATTTTTTATCTAGGGAAGGTAAGTGAAGTAAATTTTGGGAATTCTGTAAGGATCTAGATAAGAGTTACAGGTTTATCTTGTTGAAGCATCTTGAACTTTTCAATTTCATAATGAAAAGTTATGTCATTGTTTCAAAAGAAGGAAAAAAAACTTGTTCCAACTCTGCAAATTATAAGAAATTGGTGGTTAGTCTGAGTAAGTGGAGTCTCTTCTTTTTTCTTTGTGCAGGTTTATGTCATTGGCGAAGATGGTATCTTAGAAGAGCTCCAGCTAGCCGGATTCACAGGTCTTGGTGGTCCAGTAAGTAGATAAAATAACTGTCGATTACTGGTTTATATTCCTCGTATCCGACTTCATAGCACAGTACGACCTATTTAAAATGTTTGCTCATCTTTCTCACTTGTTTTGATTGAAGAAATTAAGAATCGTGTGGGTCTTATGGGTAATGCTCAATGACTTTAGTTTATCTCTTACGTGGTCTAGCAACTGGCTTTGAGAATTTTTGAATCTTGTTCATGTTACTCAACAGCTTTATTTTCCCATTTTAATGATCTTGCATTGCAACTAGTATTTAGTATTCATCAGTCTTGTTCTCTCTACAGGCGTCCTCATAGGAGTTGAAAACTTGACTGCAATTTGCATTAAAAATTTGCTGAAATATTTGTTGGGTTGTACACTTGTACTTTGTAAATGAGTAGTGGACGTGGCTTCCTCACTAATTGAAGAAACATAAAAATTTTAACAATATCTTCTCCTTTAAATAACTGAATTTTAGGAAATGAAACCTTGCTCAAGTGCTTTTTAACTTTGGGTGCAGGAAGATGGCAAAAAAACTGGAGATCTTTATGTACATTATCCCATTGACCATGACAAGAGTGTAACGTGACATTTAACCGTACTCTAATGAGCTTTTGCTTGTACTTTCTACATATGAATTATATCTGCCATGTGATGTGCCAGGTTGGAGCAGTTGTGGTTGGAGTAGATCGGTACATTAATTATTACAAGCTTCAGTAAGAAATTTCAAATCCTGCCTAGTTTTTCCCTCATTCCATCTTCTGGTTGGTCTCTGCAGAGTTAATATTATATACCTTTGAAATGCTCTATCATAAACTATTTTAACGTAAAGAATAAACCTGTCCAATAACAGAAAGGGATTTGAGGCTGAAATGTATGATAGTTGTGAAAGACTAGATTATTTATCTGCTTCTTGTACCTCCGGAATCCTTTCAATACTACGTTGCAATTCAGTTTCATATACATGACATCTACATAATCATTCAATTATGGATTTTTATTTTTCAACCATCAGGTATGGTACGCTTTGCGTTCGTGAGAACCCGGGATGCCTCTTTATTGCTACTAATCGCGACGCAGTTGGGCATTTTACTGAAACACAAGAATCCCCTGGTTCATTTCTTCAAGCCGTCTTTTGATTCTCTCAATCAACTTGATTGAAGTGCTATTTCACATTGGTTGGGTCATTAACTTTAAGGCTTTAAATCCTGCGCTTCAGGTGCTGGTTGCATGGTTGCTGCAATGTGTGGATCAACTGAAAAGGAACCCATCCTTGTCGGAAAACCATCGACATTCATGATGGATTTTCTATTGAAAAAGTAAGAAAATAGACTTTCTAGCACCATAATTCTTTTCTGATGGATCACGTAACGGTTCACGACTCAATGTTGATGTGCTTGAAAGTGGATATGGAAAGAAATAACTTGGAAGACTATATGTGATCCACTGTGTATTCTTGCTTTTCAGATTCCAGTTTGGTTGCTCTAAAATGTGTATGGTGGGTGATAGACTGGACACAGACATTCTTTTTGGACAGAGCGCAGGCTGCAGAACACTTCTTGTTCTCTCAGGTTTGAAACTTAGATTTCTGTCTCATTTTTGTCAATGAACTGTAAGAAAAAAAGGAACCCTATTCATGATTCCCACAACAATCACAGGGGTGACAACTCAATCCATTCTTCAAGACCCCTCCAATGGTATTCAACCAGATTACTACACAGCCAAGGTGTCTGACTTGTTGGAACTATTGGGACCATGACGATGCTACATCGAAACTCCTAAATTATTGGAAGGCTAGTTTCGCTTTAGTCATCAGTATCATTTTTGAAACCATGCTGAATAATTTATCTTTGATTCAAGCCAAGACTTATGTGCTACGGCTGAAATCCGTTACACCCAAAGGAAGAAGTTGATGTCAATTGTTGCTGAGCTATACTTAGGTTGGCGTCAATCTTATTTAAGGTAGCAGCAGTTGATAATTGAATCTAATTTTTTCTATTATTTTTTTCTCGTATCCCTAGTGAAAAAAGGAAGTCCATTTTCAAGAAAGAGTCCTTGATGATGGATTGGTGCAGTTAGCCAAGTCATTTTGTTTTTTTAGAAGACAGCCACTGAATAAATCATAATGGTGTATCGTACTCTATATGAGTTTCCTCTCATTTGTTGATTTACTCTGTGGCCCTAGAAAAATTTTAAATGCTGGTATCATATTGATTTATTGAGGATGATTTATACATGTGGCTTGAAAATATTTAGTTTATTCAATAAGATGACAGGTTTCGTTTGTTGTTTTTTCTTTTAAAAATTCTAATAAATAACAGAAATTAATGCTATAATTATATAAATAACATCTATTTACTTGTTGGTATACAACATTCCACTTTTTTTTAAGCAAAAGTATAAATCATTCCATACTTATTGAGCCCTATCTAGGGCACAGTTGAATATAATTTACTCAATTAATCAAAACGATTTCATATTAAGACGAAATGATATATGGTGTATTGCCCAAGTGAGCCATTGTTGTACTAAAAAAAATGATATACGGTGTATTACTAATTTGACGTGGGGAAAAAGTATAAATATGATGATGATGTGGACGATTTGTGAAGTTTAACTAAACAATAGGGATTGAATTGAACTAAATATGGACCAAATTCAAATTAAGTCAAGACTAATCATAGAGACCAAAATTAAAATTTATGCAAACTACAAGAATCAAATTTATAATAATAGATTATGTTTAATAATTGCTAATCTGAAAATTTATGCAAACTACATGAATCAAATTTATAATAATAGATTATGTTTAATAATTGCTAATCTGAAGATAGCTCGACGAGAAGGTTGAGATTTGTTGAGCTAAAATATATAACAATAAGAATAAGAATAAAATTATTAAATTTCACCAATTGATTTTTACAAAATGCTGTAAATTAAGAAATAGTCGGACATAAAAATGTCAATTTCAAAATTGGCGCGTTTTTCTTCCGCTCTCCACATTCATCATCCTGCGAGGAACGAAGAGAAAAATGAATACCGAAGCCGCCTTTGATGGCAAGTGATTTTCAGCGTGAATCCTCTCCGCCGCTCTTCGCAGTATGCAGATTACAGATTGTGTCGCCCGTCGGGGACGGCCATGTCCTGAACCTTTCGTCGAGCGGGAGGCACGAACATGGTCAAATAACCTTCCGAACCTCGGTTACTTCCCTGTCCACCGGCGATGACAGGGTTCTATTCGACTCTTTCAACGCGTTCCTCTTCGATTGCGAGGGTATTCGGTATTTTCATATCCAATTTTCGATTCCCCCTTTTCTTCCGCTCAGAATCGCCTATTTCGGGTTCTTAATCACTAGAGATTTCTCAATTGCATAATGTATAGAGTAGGTGTGTTCTTCGGAAGGATGATATGATTAGGCGATTGATAGCGTCGCGGACACACTCGAGATATTGTTGTTCTTAGTAGATTATCGTTTCCCGCACTTAGCTATCATTTTTAGGGAAAGGTGTCAAGCTTTTGTCCCTAACAATTCGTTAAAATCAAGAAGGCTGGATGCAAAGTAGTTTTAGTGCATTGGAATCTCTGTTTCAGGGGTAGTGACGGGAACAACCCAGATATATTGTTGTTCCTAGGGTTTCCTCTCCCTAGTGGCTTTGGAAGTGATGAATATTCATCTTTTTTTGCAGCTACCGAGTTATTAAAGGTCAATTTCTCTATGAGAAAAGCTCTGTTTTCCCCCAGCCGGCTTCTTATATGCTTTCTATCGCCCTCGTTGAATCTAACTATAAGACAATTTTGAAAGTTGTCATATGCTGGAGGACTTTTTGAATCAAATTTGTCTTCTACCGGACCATTGTTCTTTGATTGCCATAGTTTAAATGGTATTGAAGAGAGACAAAAAAGAAAAAAAGGGGTCATGGTGACGTGCTTACAAAGTTAGGGAAAATACTTTGCTCCTCACTAGCGAGGAAGAATCTTGTCTACACCACCATTAAATATTTGACAACTCATCATTTTTTAAAAACACTTGGTTCCTCACTTTTTTTTTTGCATTTCAAAATGATGAGTTGTCAGATATTTAATAGTAGTGTGGACAAGATTCTTCCCTACCAGTGAGGAGTCAAGTCCTAAAGTTACACGTCAAACTTTCAACCCTTCAAGAAAAGAAGGAATCAAGAATCGTAGAAGAGCCGCAGCTAGCTGGATTCGCCGGTCTTGGTTGAACTGTTAAGTAACAGCTCATGATTTCCTCAGATAACTTCAAGGTACGATGCAACTATACGGCCACTTGTTAATATTTTTTTTTGTGGTCCAACTCATTCTTACTAATTTTGCACGTCAAATTGTTAACTCTTCAAGGCGAGGGAGGAATCCTAAAAGAGCAGCAGCTAGCAGCTAGCTGGATTTCGTGGGTCTTGGTGATCCGGTAATCTTCTCAGATACAATTTCAAGGTACGATTCAGTTGTACAATCCAATGAATTTTTATTTTTTATTTTTGTATCCATCATTCGTTATTGCTAATTTTGCATGAAAACGAGTTTGGGTCTCCATTGGTTTATTGGTTATAGTGATCTTCATTGCCTTAGTTTACCTCTTTCCTCATCTTTACTTGGAAATCCGAGAGAGACATTGACAATTCTTTTTCATTGCTAGTGATTATGTAAATTAGGAATGATTCTTAATGTTTACACTAAAAATAGGAATGACATCCTTAAAAAAAAAAAAAAGATAAAAAAATCTCGTTCAGATTCATGAGCTCAACTTTTTATTTTATTGGTACTATATTTTCATCTCTATTTTTTACAATGACTTTCACGTTTAATCTAATTTAGATTAAATAAGTAAGATCTTGTTTTACACATAAGTTAAATGATTAAATCACTTGCACTACACTTGTCAAATGCCTAGTATATATGATCAGAATGAGGGCTCAAAAGTGAAATGCAGGCTGCCAATGCCAGGTATATCCCTTCTAATCAAATTCTCACCAGTACAAGTCTCTGTCTGTATCTTCCAAAGAAGTCCATTCCATAAGGCTAACACCTGAACATCCATCTTCTCCCATTTCTCTCATCATCTTTCTGACTCTTGCTACATCATTCCACCTCCTTGATGCTGCATAAAGGTTTGACATCAATACAAAGAATCCCCCATTTCTACAGTTTGAGAAAAGCAACTTCTTGGCCACAGATTCCCCAAGCTTAACTTCCTGGTGAATGCAGCAAGCACTGAGCAAAGCTCCCCACACTGCAGAATCTGGATTGATTTCCATGTTCTTGATAAACACAATTGCCTCCTCAAATAAGCCCGCCCGACCAAGCAAGCCAACCATGGATGCGCAATGTTGCAATTCAGGCGCTATACCAAATTCTTCCATCATGATTTTGAAGTATGTTTTACCTTCTCTAACAAGTCCTCCATGAGTACAAGCAGCTAAAATTCCTGAGAAAGTGATTTTATTGGGTTTTATCCCCTTCTCTATCATTTTAGTGTAACAAAGGAGGGCATGGTTGTCAAACCCAAATAAACCGTACCCTGAGATCATCGAGTTCCATGAAGCTAAACATGGCTCTTTCATGCTCTTAAACACCCTTTCAGCAAAGTCCAATCTGCCACACTTGACGTACATGTCTACAAGAGCAGTTCCAACAAAACCTTCCAAATCCAGATTGTTTCTTAGATTATAGCAATGAAGTCTCTCACCAAAATGCAAATTCCCATTTTGGCAACAAGCAGATAGTAAACTAGCAATTGTAATTGAATCTGGCCCATAACCTGACAACTTCATTTTGGAAAACAAAACCATGGCATCAATTGATCTTCCTGCCTGTGCACAGCTAGATATCACAGTATTCCAGCTGCTCAATGTCTTTTCATGCATCTCATGAAATAAAGAAAACACTGCAGCAATATCGTCGAACTTCGAGTACATGCTTATGAAACCATTTGCAACCAAACAATCAATTATTAACCCACTCTTTAGCCCATAACCGTGGAAAGTAAGTCCAATGCCAAAGTGATCAGGATATGTAATTCCTTGGATTATGCCAATCATTGCAACTGCATCTAGTTTCATGTCTAGATGCTGCATTCGGGAATACAACTTCACCACAGATTTAATGTCTCCTTTCTCAGCGTAGCTTGAAATAATTGCAGTTAAGGAAACCAAATCTTTCTGGAGTAGTGACATATAAATCAATTCTGCTATTTGTATGTTTCCACATCTTACATACGAGCAAACTAGAGAGGTAACCACGGAAACATTTTCCACAAGACCAGTTTTGGTAGCATAACAATGGATAGATCCTGGATTTGCATTTGCAGACAAGATAGTCACCATCGTCACCGAGTTAGCATTGACACTTTCCTCAAGCATTTGTTTGAAAACAAGCATTGCCTCCACGAAGAACCCATTTTGCCCAAATGCCCCAATCCTAGTATTCCAAGAAACTACGCTTTTTTCCATCATTTCTCCAAAGAAGAGTTCCACCCCTTCTACATCTGAACATTTAGCATACATCGACGCCAGAGCATTTTTCACATGGGAGTCCAAATCTAGGCCAGCCTTAATACCTAACGCATGGATGGATTTTCCTTGAACGAATAATTGTTGGCTACCACAGGCAGGAATTAAACTTACCACCGTCCTCTGACGAGGTTTAAAACCCCTTCTGCGCATTTCGACAAATAGTTCGAAGGCATCATGGCTGTAACCACTTCGTGAGTACCCAGAAATCAACGCATTCCACAATACTACATCTTTCTCAGGAATATCATCAAACAAACGTCGAGCAGCTTTTACATGACCCAATTTTGAATACAAGTTGAGAAAAGCGGTACTAACATACAAAAATTGGTCAAATCCCCATTTGACGAAGTGGGTTTGGAGCTGATTCGCTTCCGCTTTAGCATTCTCAGAGGAGGACGCTGGGGCAAAAGAAGAAGATGAAGACGATAAAACGAAGGCTTTGATGAGTAAGGAGAAGGTAGAATCATTGGGTGTAACCCGATACCTAAGCAACCGACGGAAAAGCAACAAGGGTGAAGTGGAAATTTTGCCTTCGATGTAAGACTTGAATGCAGAATGGAAGGTAGAGAGCGAGAGAGGTGCCGGATGGCCTCCCGAAGGCGCAAATTGCATAGTACTGGGCGCCCGTTTAAGCGGTTCCGCACCTATGGAATATGCATGGTTTTTGGCTTTACGTGCGTTATTCACACACTCACGTTTATAAGTTCTTGAMGCTTTAGCAATTTGTGAAGGACTAAGTCTTTGAATAAGACACTTACCAACGAAATTATTGTGTGGAATCGAACAATTTGAAGGTCACTCCATCATCAATGGTGAGAGATAATAAATCTATCATAAGTTCATATTTTTRTCGATATCTGAAGGGTGGCAGAACTCCTTCCCATCAAAGAATTCAAGCATGCAGCAAGAAGTACGAATGAAGTGGCTCATGGAATCGAAAGAAAAACTTGCGAAAATGGGATTTAAGACCCTTTACCTTATTGGCTCAGAGTTTTAATTTCTTCTGATATTAATGTCCATTTTGCTTGATTTTTTTGCCTTTTGTTGTAACGGGGTGGTTTGAATTAACTAGAAGTTTAAAACTAACTGAACTTATTTGTAAAACTGTGAAGTTTTTTTTTTTTTTTTTTTTTTGCGCAGTTTCAATTTTCAATGAATTGAAAATCACCATGAATGAACGAGATTATGTAATACATTGTGTAGTATGTCATTCAGATTTAAGCTCAGTTGGTGGGTGTGATAGATGGGACATAGGCATTTAGTTCGGATAGATTGCAGACTATTGAAGCACTCCCCTGTGCTTTCAGGTTCTCAATTCTTCCCAGTTTTTGTCTTTGAATCTTCATGCTTTATTATCCAAAATGAGAAGCATCTGTTTGTSAATATTTTGAATCTTCACATTGTTGTTATTTAAAATACTACAAAAACCTTGAGGAAGAAATGGGCGGTTTACAAAAGCGTGTCAATTTTAATTCAAACTTTGAATTTGATAAATTTATTGAACATAAATGTGTAATTAACATTTTTAGAAGTAAATTATAAAATTGTTCATTAATTAATTAATAATCAACATAAAATTCAATACTTGATTTTAAGTCAAATCTAAAAAATACCCTGGCGACAAAATTAATAAGCAAACATTCAACCTCCTGAACAAAAATATTTATGCCCCACTCCAAAAACATCTAACTCAACCAAAAGAACTATTACCTACAAAATTACTCTCATCTAGTCATAAAAACGACTACTGCTAACCACAAATGTTAAAATAATGGAGATATGAAGAAAAAATGTCATTACTTATTCAGCAGAAAGTTTAAGGTAAACATTTGTATACCAGAAAAAACAAATTATTTTTATTATTTTTTGGTAGTTAGCTATAAGAAAGCAACAAGCTGGCCAGGTTTGGTACAAAGGCTTTGGGCTGGGCTTATGGCAAGAGCCGATGAACGTAAAGAGGAGGGAGCAATCCACCCAATAGTTGTAGAGAACATTTGGATTTCTAACATGTCTGCAGCCTCTCTTGATGCATCTGCCTCTCTCTCTCTCTCTGCTTTTTTCCCCATTGCTAAGTAATTTCGTAGCCTTTTTCCTAACCTATGAATTACATTTGGAAGCTTTAAACTCTCTGGATTCATATGGCTATCCCACTACCTTTAGCCCCTAAATCTTATACCTCCCTTTACAACAAAAGATGCCCACTTCATTTTGTAATGGAAAAGCTTTCTAAAGTCATGAAACATGGAAAAATAAAGTTTTGACTCCATTGAATAGGAGCATATATTTATAATTAAATTTAAAGGTGAAACTATAAATTCAATCCTTTATTTATTTGAACATGAACATGATTAGTGCATTTGTTTACACAAATTAATCATGATTGGTCAGAAGTGAAACTGTATTCATTGAACCTACAATAGTTGATTATCAGGGCCAAATTTGAATAGCTGAAACTAACTTCAAGCCATACCAAACAGAAGAAACACAAGCCCCAGCCCGCCATTGCTTCCTTCTCTTTCAAATTTCAAACACAGGGTAGCCATTGATTTTACTGTATTGAAGCATCCAAGACACTTCGAATAGTGTAGCCTTTGAGAAGATCGAAGGGGGGAAGCATCTAAGTTTAGCTGAGGAATATATTCCATTGTCATTTTTTAAAACTGTAGATTCAAATCACTTTATTAATCAGGCAGATGATGCCAAGTGTCACCATCTGATTTAACATCCCTTTGTCATCTTTAAGCTACTTGGTATTATCAAATAATCAGATAAGATGAGGACCACCATTACTCTGCTTAAAAACTGGCAAACTGCCCCTAACTTTCCTTTTTTTCTTTTTCCTTTTTTCCCCCTTACATTAAAATTTTCAAAATTAAGCCTAGGCACGTGGGACAGGCTGAACAGCTCGCACCTCTAAGCATGGAGCTGTGTGATTCTTTAAAAACTTTGTTTAATTTACATGTGTATTCGAATTTCAATTGCTAAAAACAATGTTCATTTTGCAATAAATAGGCACAGATACGAAGAAAGCTTTCAATTTGATTGGTCGAATGCCACTGTGATTAATATATTACAGTATTCTGACACTTCCAGTAGATATTAAAAACATTAAGTTACCAATAAGAAGATAATCCTTAATTTTTTTTCAAGTTGGTTTCAGATTGATTTTATTGACATGAGATTAACAGAAAAAAGTAATACAAAAGGAGAGAAGAAAATGGAAGAGAGAAAAAAAAAAAAAGAAACTAGAAAGAAGTTGTTCCTTAACCAAAGTATGGAAGCTTTAGTTAAGATGTAGATTAGGACATGGTCGGGTCAAGTCAAATCCCCACTGATAATTTTTCCTTTTTGCGTCAAATGTGATTTTCAGTGGGACTGAATTGTGACTTGAATCGGTAACGCTGTCCACGACCAAGAAGAAACAAACGGAAGTGGGCATCAAAAGTTGATTTGTTGTCCTTTTTAAGTTGTGTGTTACTTGATTAAATTGAAATATATAAACCATTTTAATGCCTCCCCACTTTACATAACTAAAATATTTTCTACCTAAAATTGTAGTGAAAATTCATCAAAACCAGTCCAATAATGTTGACAGGGACATGCTTAATTATATTACCTTAAATAAAGATGGAGACATGTTTTGGAAATTAATTAATGCTGTTAGGCTAATTATATTTAGTATCTTTTTCTGGGTGGTCTTGATTATGATTGTACAATTCCAATTATGCACTTTGCTTCTGTGAACAGGCACTTGGGAAAAAAAGTTGCAGGAATTTTGGACTATTGCCTCTAATTTTCTGAGTCAAATCAGAGTTTTCCAACGCATTCTGGTTTGATTTTGGAGGCAACCAACTATTGTTTTGTTGACAAACATGATGAATATATTCGAACAAACAACTAAAAGAAAGTTTGCTAAATCCATATTTTATAGGGAAATATACTTTCTCTCTATATGAAGTTATTCCTTTTACTTGCTGAAAAATACCCTTTTATTCAACTATGCTTGTTCAAAAAATCAATTGAAATCAGACTGCGTTTGTTTGGATTTTTTTTTTCTTTTCTCCTTCTTACATTATTTGTAAGGTTTTAATGTTGGAAAAATGATTACAGAGGAGAAAATTTTGTATGGAAGAGTGAAAGGACACAGAAAATACTTCATTAATGAACTTGAAAATGAAGGATTCTGTGTAAAGGCGTGATAGACAGTGCGGGACCTGAGAAGAAGTGTTTGGTGACTTGGAATTATTTTCGCTATAGTTCAAATAACCAATGAAAATTTAGAGCACAAAGAGCTAACTTTATGGCTTTGACCGCTCACCCTCTCTCTACCTCTCCTCCTAATCCACCAGAACCAGAGCTAAATCCATTTTTATTGCTCTCTTCTTCCAGCCTTTGCCTGCTCTCTCTCTTTCATTTCGCCCAGGGCTGAGCTATTTGGGGACATCTTTCTACAGCACTCTCCTTTTACGCTGCCAAGAAAAGCAAAGCCGCTCAACTCCAGTCCAGTCCTTGATTTTTTAATTTTTTTTTGGTATACTTTTCGGCTTCTCTCGCTCTGCTTTTTGGTTTCTTGCCTTGGTTCTTCAAGGGTCTATCTTCTGGTTCTGTTTCTCGCATCTGGGCCTCGACCTGGCTTTGGATCTGTGATTGGGTTTCACTGAGAAGTGTGGTTCAGTGAGAAAGATCTGGCTTTTTGGCTCTTATAAGTTCATATTCATCCTCGATCATGTTCATAGAGTTCGTTTAGTAATTTGGATTCGGTTTAGACTAGTTGAAGTCGTGCCCAGAGACTGCATTTACAATTGGCTACGTTGCTTGACTAATACTTCGATTTGGTGGTCATTTCATCTGTTACTTTTTCTCTCAAATTTCCCATTGCTTATGATTTTTCGCTTTTCAAACATCTTCTTTACCCTCTGGCTATTTCTTTTCCCTCTCCGGAACGCATCTGTTCCGTTCGTTTGTGTGGGTTACTTAATTAATTTTTCATGATTTTCATAGATCGATCGTTGCTTTCGGTGGACCCGAAGAAGAATTAGGATGGGCTGTTAATCGGAGATAGGATGGTCCGGAGAACAGCTGCTGAGCAATGGACCCTTTCAATCTGATTCATTCTGAGGTTCTTCAGTAGCCTTATGGCCTCAATTGTTGGTTCCAAAGCTTCCTCAAATCAGCCACAAAAAACAACCCATGGAGAAATGGTTAATGGGAAGAATGCCGGGCCCTTGCCTCCGCAGATTTCTAGGTTAAGTAAACCTGAATCAGTTACTTCTGACCAGTCCAAATCAGTTCAGAGTATCTCAAAGCAGAATATGGAAATATCTTCCGACAAAAAGTCACCAGTATCGAATCAAAATGGATCTGTTAAGTCGTTGACTGAAAATTTTAATTTCAGCATTTCGTCACCTGGGCTGAAACAAACATCAACTGAAGTAGATTCCCCCCACAATGAAGCTAGATGCTCACCTGGAAGCTCACTAGACCAAGAGAAGAAAACATCAGAATATGGAAGCGTAAAGAGCAGCTCTTTTTCCGCCAAAGTGAGTGATGGGACTAGCAGTCTTGCCAAGACCAGTGGAAGCACAAAGGTTAGCGACCATGGTAACTTTGTCGAGAGTGGCAAGAGCAGTATATGTAGAGGGAGCACGAGCAGCGATGTAAGCGATGAAAGCTCTTGCAGTAGTTTTAGTAGTAGTATCAGTAAACCTCATAAAGCAAATGATTTGAGATGGGAGGCCATTCAAGTTGTTCGTGCAAAAGACAAGGCGATGGGATTGGGTCATTTTAGACTTCTGAAGAAGTTGGGTTGTGGGGATATTGGGAGTGTCTATCTCTCTGAGTTAAGTGGCACCAAATGTCATTTTGCAATGAAGGTTATGGATAAAAATACTCTAGCGAGTCGCAAAAAATTGCTTCGTGCRCAGACAGAAAGAGAAATACTTCAATCTCTTGATCATCCCTTCCTTCCAACGTTATACACCCACTTTGAGACGGAAAAATTCTCATGTTTGGTGATGGAGTTCTGCCCTGGAGGAGACTTGCACACTCTAAGGCAGAGGCAACCAGGGAAGCATTTTCCTGAGCAGGCAGTGAAGTACGTTAAGAGCACTTATATACTAGATGACAATTATAGATCGTTTTATTCGACACTTTCCATTCTTGCATCTTATGCTTGCTAATGATATGCTTGAGTTTCCTGGATCTGAATTAATATATCTTGCAGGAGAATGTTGCACTTAGGAGTTACACCCTAGATTTCATGTTTTATTCTGGTTCTCTGTTCTATATATCTCCTGTCTATTTGCTTAGCATGGACAATGCAAACAAATCATTTCTTCTCCTTACTGGATGAGCTACCTCAACAGCCATTAGGTCATTGTGCATATATAATGATGCAAATTACTGATGGTTCCTGCTGGGATTTCCTAGAATATATATACCTTTTTCTGAATCAAAATACAAGTTTTATAGTTACTTTAGTCTAGAAGAAAATGTTGATACATGCAAAGGCTATTGTCCAGGTGTTTTAGGATCCTCAATGATTTCTACTCAAATTTTCACTTAAAATACTAAGGACATTCATCAAAAACAAACACAAACATCACATGCTTATTTGTCATACTCATGCCATAATTATTGTAGTATAGTATTTTGAGTAGCAGGTTTAGAATGGCTTCATATATGCAGCAAGAGTGGTTTTATGCGTGATAAGGAAACAATATTGCTACCATCAGAGTCATCTTTTGGGCAATTATTCTAGGAATGAAAAGCATGAAAAGTTCTTCATGTTTATGTGTCTCTGGTATCGTGTTTGGTTGTTTGTTTTCAAAATTTTTCTAGCTGCTAAATAGAAGTCCTTAAGTTCTTTTTTTTTTGGATAAGAAATAATATACCACTATAAAAATAATACAACCAATAAGAACGGCAAGGAGGATTAGTATCCCCTCCAGTAACCAGTAGCCTTGAATTGCATGAGTCATGAACATATCAGGACTTTATGTAGATGATTTCACGAGGTTTTGTATCATATTTCCTCCGTTTCTACTCTGGTTGAGAGGTCTTGGCTAATTTTATCCTCTTTCTTCCCTTGTTTTTTGTTACTCTAGTTTTCATAAGTCTAAGCAGGACTACAACCATAGATACTACTCTAAGTCAGGCCATTCTATATCTGATGGTGGTATTACTACCTGGTCCTCACTTAAATTCGTGTTTCTTTCGGGATATGAGTTCAATCTTCATAGTGGCCCTGACCCTAAGAATGTTAAAATCTTATGTTTTTTGATAAATGTTGTAGGGTCAAAGTGAGGTTAGTTGAAATGTGTGTAAGCTAGCTTGGAGGCTCACAATCTAACAAAAAAAGCATCTCTGAGCAGATATGTTCTCCAACGTATGCTGCATCTTATCTCCTTCCATTTCTTAGAAATAATAGAAAGTTGTCATTTATACTGTATTCCAGTTATTAGGTAGCTGTTATTGCTCGTAATTTTGTGTTTGCTTCGTTTGCATCTATGACCCAAACTTTTGGCCAGCTAATGAATCAGGAAAGGGTGTTGTCTTACCGTTTCTGATAGAAGTGTTGTTTAAGAATTGAACTGCAGTAGGAAGAAATATTCCGTATTCGTGAGACCTGATCTTCCTGATAAAAGCAGAATGGCTCATGTACTGTAGCCCTTATTGTGCTCCTGTTATGTTGAATTAACGCCTGTTGTCTCTGGCATAACTATTTTTGCATATTTAAGTAGACGATGATACTGAAGTTTTTCCTCTTTGTTTAATACAGATTCTATGTAGCAGAGGTTCTTCTTGCACTGGAATATTTGCACATGCTTGGGATTGTGTACCGTGATCTTAAGCCAGAAAATGTTCTCGTGAGGGAAGATGGACACATAATGCTTTCGGATTTTGACCTCTCTCTCCGTTGTGCTGTTAGTCCGACTCTTGTCAAAAGTCTCTCTACAGAGTCTGAGGCTTTAAGAAAGAACACGGGTTACTGTGTCCAGCCTGCTTGCATTGAGCCTTCCTGCATCCAACCATCTTGTGTAGTTCCTACAACCTGCTTCTCGCCTCGCCTCTTTTCTAGTAAGTCAAAGAAGGAGCGGAAACCCAAAACTGAAATGGGAAATCAGGTCAGCCCATTGCCTGAGCTCATTGCGGAGCCAACCGATGCCCGATCCATGTCGTTTGTTGGAACACACGAGTACTTGGCACCTGAGATCATCAAGGGTGAAGGTCATGGAAGTGCTGTAGATTGGTGGACTTTTGGAATCTTTCTATACGAGCTACTATTTGGTAAAACTCCTTTTAAGGGGTCTGGAAATCGAGCTACATTGTTCAACATTGTCGGTCAGCCACTTCGGTTTCCAGATGCACCAGTTGTGAGCTTTGCTGCAAAGGATCTCATAAGGGGATTGCTAGTGAAGGAACCACAACACAGATTGGCTTATAAACGTGGAGCAACTGAGATCAAGCAGCATCCTTTCTTTGAAGGAGTAAACTGGGCATTAATACGTTGTGCTACCCCTCCCGAAATCCCAAGGCCGGTCGAGATCGAGAGAATACCTCATGCTGTGGCATCCACCAGTGAAAAGGCCCCTCCTGTTACAGTTGCTGCAGATAAAAAAGCATCTGATAGTTATCTCGAGTTCGATTTCTTTTAGAGAGAAACCCGTACACGTTATAGAGGTTATTTATCAATGAAAGCCTACTCTAAACATTCCTGTGTATGGCCGTGGGACTAGTGAGGAAGAAGCATATTGATAGATCATGAAAAAACCTGTAAGTTTGTTTGTCTGATGACAGTTTCAAATTGATGTTGCACAAGTATTGAATGGATTCTTTGCTTTCTTCTAAAGGTTTGACTCTTGACAATGTAAATCTTTAGCTATTTTCACCATCAGGTTCCAGTCTATCTTCCCAGTCATAGGAAGATAAATCCTTTGCATTCATCYGATCTCATTAAAATTCATTTACATAGAAATCAAAATACAAACTTTGATCTTTTACACAATATTAAGGACAAGAGAGTACAAAGTACATGTTCATCAGACAAACTTAGTTTTAAAACACATGCAAGAGATTGAACTGTTTCGTTGTTCTTCAGCTACTGTAACGCTAGAATTAGGATCATTATCCTTGGAGCTATCGTCGTGGTAGCGAGGAGAAGAGAGAGGAGAGGGCGACCCACAATGAGCCAACTGGTTGCTTGCTTCCTTCCCTTCACAAACAACCTTAACCTCGCAAAACCCCGGAGCTTTCTGAAGYATCTCATTTGCAATTCCGCTTCCTCCTCGCAATCTCAACTTCCTAAGAAAATAATGAAACAAAAACTTGAGTATGTTGTTGAGTTGATGAGTTTGCCTTTGACATCTAGAAAAAAAAAAAGTACCTGGATTTGTTGATTCCAAGGACTAGCTTCCTTATGTTGAGAATTGGTATAACATCCAAAATAGCCCTTCCCACCATGTCACTCTCTATGAGCACAGTGTCTGCCTTAACCTGTTCCATTAATCACTGATAATGGAAAACAAATCACATACTTATTCTGTAAGTAAACACCCATTTTTTGTACCTTAGCAGCAGAACAGAAATCAATAAACTTCTGAAGAAAATCCTTCCTTTTGCTCTCTTCTTGAGCTACATAGATAGCCACTTGTTGTTTATCCACCTGATTAATTGGAATCTTCCCCACTGTCATTATAGAAAATTGCCACAAATTACTAAACATCACAAGGCAAACAGTTTATGTCTTTTCTGAATACTTCTATTCATCAATGTTCAACAGAACCCAGAAAAAAAGTTCCACTTGTCAAGAAGATATAGGCTTCAAACTTTTTCCCTCTCAAACGCATGCGCACAGACCAGTAAAGAAGAAGAAGAAGAAGAATCCGAAAACGAAAGTGTCAAATATAGTAGCAGAGCAGAGATTCTGTGGAAGCAGTAAATAGTCTCAGAAGTATTCCCACCATTTCAAATGGCCACTTTTAACTTAAAGCTAAAGGTCCAGACATGGGGCTTTGACCATATCTACTCCACCATAAAGGTGAGAAAGAAAAAGACAAAGTATTATGGGGCTTTGACCAAAACTTTTCAGTCAGAAAAAATGCAGAAAAAAGAGATGAGTTCAGAGATTACAGGGGCTGGGAATGTATCGTGTCTCTGGGAAGACATGTAAGAGGTAGACGACGGTAGTGGAGGCTGTAACGGCGTTCTTGAGCGCCCATTGAAGCGCCTCGACGCTGGATTCGCTCTTCCCCACTCCGACATAAACGCAATCCTCCCATTTCAGAGCATCCGACGAGAACGAACAACCGCCACTATAATCTTCTCTAATGGTCTCCATGGCCGCCGCCGCCGACGACCCCATTTTCTCATTCGTCTCAAAAATCTCGCTCGAACCCTCTTCCTCTATCTCGCTCGTGCTGCTGCTGAACCTGTAATTGCTGAACTCGCTTCCGGGTCCTGCTCCGGCGATGGCCCCTTCATCGAAGTGGCAGAATTTGGCCTCCGCCGGAGATGGCAACGCCGACATGGCGGCTGTAAACCAGAGATTCTAAGAAATCCTCTGCTGCAGGGGATTTGGGGAAAACAGAGCAGCTTCTATATATTGTATAGGGTGAAGAATCAGGAATGGATACAGAGTAACCCATATAKAAAAACAGAAAATGGGTTTCGTTTGGTTAATTTCTTCGGGTTTGACTTTTTGGGTTCGGTCCCCCTTACATTATTGTGATTTGTGAAAACCTTTCGGTTAAACTATTCAAAAACAAAATTGTCCAAGAAAATATTCAACTTCAGTCTTTGAACAAGCGATGTTCTTAGGATACAAAATTGAAATGTAATCTTTTTCTTGGACAGATAAAACGTGAGCGGCAGGATTCGAACCTGCGCGGGCAGAGCCCACATGATTTCTAGTCATGCCCGATAACCACTCCGGCACGCCCACTTGACATGTAATTTAAGTGTCAGAAATATATTAAATACAAATTTAATTTTCTGTGCCTAATAATTTTATAAATTTTAATAATATGTCTAATAAATCAAGTGTTATTAGACACAATCGAATGTTTGGTTAAGTTTGAATATCTATTAGATATTATTAGATCAATATTTATGGACTAATTAGTTACGTTTTAGCCATTAGACATAACTGTGAAAATTTATTATTAAACTTTAATCTTTGTAACACAGATAATGAAAAAAATGGCTTGAAGCTGGAAGAGGCACCAACTTGAGAATAAATGCATAAATTAATAAAAGATGTATTTGTGCCAATTTTTGTCCACTGGTATATTAAAAACTATAATACGAATTAAAATACCTTTTTAATATAAAATTTGGACACTAAAATAAACTTTCAAAGGCAAAATTTAAAATAGACACCTAAGTTTAGGAATTAGAACAAAATTTAAACCATTTAATTATATATTAAGAAAATACTTGACTTCTCAACAATGAGAAGGAATATCCTGTATAGTGGGACAAGATACAAGATATTTATAAATATCAATTTTATATGTCCTGTATACTGGGACTATTTATAAATATCAATTTCATATATAAGGAGTAGGGTGGAAGATTCGAACTTATGACTTCTTAATTAAAGACGAGTGTCAATTACTGTTAAGCTAAATTCATGTTCAAGTGTTTGTTATCATTCATATAACACCATGTATATATTATATAGTATGATTCATAAATTACTCTTCCAACCATAAGGTAGGAACTATTTTCATATGAAATTTTTTTTGGGTACTGTTTAAAGAGAGATTGTACACTATGGTTTAGAATAGTAAAATAAAAATAATAAACTAAAATATCTTAAAATACAACTAGGTTACATATATGTTATGAAAGCATGTAGCCAACTTTTATATGGTGCCACATCATAACAATAATAATATTATTATTTAATATGATAATCAAAAGTACTAAATTGATATATATATATATATATATATATATATATATATATATATATAAAAGATTTGGGGATTAAAATAAAATATAATGACCGAAAATGCTAAAGTAGAAAAATATGAAATATTTAATAATTTAATATATTTAATAGATGATAATAAAATTATTAATAGTATTTTGGTCTTTCTAATTTCTTTTTTATTTCATGGTATTTTCTATCAATATTCATGGATTTGATCTCGAGGAATAATCTATATCTATTATAAATTTTCGTTAGATTCTTTATTTTTTCACGTGGGATCCTTAACACTTCCAACTTTTGTTCATTTATCCCTATACCTTCAAAATATCTATTTTGGTTCTTATGCTTTTAAAATTGGATTATTTCGATCCCTTCATTTCATTTTCATCTCATTTCTTTCGATCACAATTTTAACATGATATTAACTCACTAAATTTCTTGAAATTTAGTTATAAATTTGTATTAAATGATTTTCATTGTGTATAAATTTTTTTAAATAGGAATCAAATTTGTTACTTAATTTTTAAAAGTGAATGGACAAAAATTAACATTTTGGAATTAAAAGTACACAACTAAAATAAGCGGTTTAAAAAATAGAAATAAAGTAGAGGTATCAAAACAGTATTTAATCCTAATAAAATTCTCTGATAATGAGAATAGTTCATGTTTTAAAATTTAATTATAAGCTGGCGTACCAAATTCTATAACCTTATGTAATAAGGAATTATATATAGAATACCACAGATGTAGGTGGCTGTCAAAGTTGACATGTTAGCAAAATACCAATGGAATATACGAATATGTGATAATTGACATTTATAATATTTCAATAATTTCTTTCTAAAGTCARTGTAATAATTTATTTTTCAACAAATTTTTTTGCTAGCATAACATGCTGAGCCTTAACTTTGAAATTTAAAAATATTTATTTCAATATATAATTATTGTTSGGTTAACAATTACCCAAAATTAATAACCAACCTGAAACATTTTATTATTTGTTTTCTAGCACAGAGAAACCCAAACATTTGAAAAGCCCAAATAGAAACTACTGGGAACTCTGCGTGGGCTTTTTATGAAGCCCAATAGGARAGGAATTGTTGAAGCCGTAGAAAGGTACCGGCCCAATATCTGGTAAAAGTGAACCTCTGATCTGAATTTAGAAAATATATATACACTTAAAAGGGAAAAAAAAAAAAAATACTRTTATATTCTCATTTATCATAACCGTTGAACATAAGGTATGGAGTAATATGTTATCCACTCATTCAATAGTTATGTTTAGTCCTAAATCTTAAAATAAAAAACACTATTATATGATGATGTTGATCGAATTATTCGCTTCATGTCCCTTTTTAAATAAATAGTTATGCAGTTTTTTAGTTCACACAAAATTTTGATAAGATTCATAAATCCTTTCAAAAGTGTTTGCACACCTAAACCACATAGTTATAGAAAACCTTTTGAAAAAGAAGCCACTTTCGGTTTCCTCTAGTTTTCTATCTTTAAATAAAACTTTTTATCTTATTTTATTTTACATATTCGTCCTTTTATTTTTAAAGTCTTAAAAACACTATTTAATTCTTAGTTTAATTTTATAGGCTATAACTTTTAGTTTTAGATTTGAATTACGGGGTTATTTTTTCCGTCACTTAAATAAGGACAGAAAATAGAAGAATATGTTCCCTATCTTCATTTCGCTCCTGCTCGCTTCTTCTTCTCCACTCTTTTATTTTAATTGTTTTTTTTTTAATGAATTATGAGACATCTTCCGAAAATTTAAAAACTTCTCTATTTTTCGTGGGGATTTAACTATTTGGAGATTCCAATGGTGAATTAACATTTAATTGAGAATTATTCCTAGGAATTCTGTCCTGATCCAACAAAATTTGTAGAGAATTTCGCAGAGATAGAGAAGGAAATAGGAACGATGATGGCGATGGGACACCTTACTTGAGGCCGTATCTAGTTTGGATTATGATAACATTTCTTGGACTAAAAAAAAGAAAGAAAAAAAGTTAGTAGACATGTTTATTTATAAAAAACAAAAGATAAGTCCATGAAATTTTGATCTAGATCTTTTCATTTTGAATGTACTCCTGAGGATTTTTGGTAAGCTAGTATTTGTACGTTCAACTAAAAATAAGATTCAAACATCAAACTTTTTGGTTAAGAATATATGTGAGGTTAAGTTGACAGAAAAACAAATATTTGACTATATTATTATTATTATTGTTTAATTCTATGGTGCATGATATTGAGATGTCTAGGGATGTGAAAGTGATGTTTTCGCGTATGAAAATGAAATTTGTTAATTTGGTCATTTCTATTAATACTAAAATATTAGAAAATAAAAACTATATTAGATATTATTATATGGTTTTACCTAGCATAGTAGTTTAAATTATCCTAGATATGGAAAGAGATAACTTTTCACCAACAAGATATGATAGAAAATTATTTATTAATGCAGTAATTTTGTAGGATTGAGATCTATGAAAAAATAATTAATAATAAAAAAGAAAATCGTTGATTTTATTTATTTATTTATCCTAAAGAAATATTTTTTTTTAAATCAAGTCAATATTAAGTATCATCATATAATTTTGCTCTATGGATATTAATATATGATATCTTAGAAACAATTGTCAAATAAAAGATTCTCTTCTAAGGACTTAAACCCTTGAATGATAAAACTAC